TGTGCCCTGTTTGTGTTATTTTTAATGATGAAGGTGTCCTTGCGTGCCCTTTTTCTTTTAAAGCGCAGTCGGTTACCAAATCTCGTTGTGGGATGACTCGGCGACTTTACGAGTCACCTCATTTCCTTGTGGGTCCTTAATGACCCTTGAAGTCTTGGCGCGAATGTGTTCTTCACCCTTTTGCTTAGCACCATGGGCTACGTAGTTCTTGATTCCATACAACTTGTAAGGAGTCCTCTGATTTGCTCGAACGATGTCCATGGTTTGGAGGAGTCCCGGTCCCTCCTTAGCATTTTGACTTTTAAGGTTTTCGTGGGTTCTTAGTACGAGTTCCCAACTCACCTCCTTGGTTTGCGCAATCCTTTACGCCAAACATCCCTAGTCGGTTGTATCGTAGGATCCGATTTCAATTACTCGTGCAATGTAATTGATTGTGATTTCCCGATGGTGTCTCGTGCGTCAAGGTCTTTTACGTAGGACACTATGTTTGGGTGGTCCATGGTTCCTTACCCAAGACTCACATTCCTCAATCGAGGCACACAAGTGCGCCACAAATCAATAAAATGAGGGGTTAAGAAATCAGCACATTGTACTAGTGGGCGCGAGGTGGGCGGTCGTCCGCCTGCCAAGCTCCTGCCAAGGACCCGCCAAGGTCCCGTCAAGGACCCGTTGGGGACCCGCGGGAAAGTGACTAGGAATAGTCAATTCCTTCGGGAAAGACCCCAAAAATGCACAGATTCATGTCCTGACAAGTCCCATGCCCTTGTGCACAATAAAAGGGACTTGGATACATAGGATGACCCATCGTACAATGTTAATTGATCCTTAAGCACGAGTTCTAGAGGTAGATATACATACATATATATATCTATTTTTTCTTGGTCTGGGTTTAAAGGGGTGTAAGAAGTGCAAGGGCTAGGTTTCAAAGTCGAGGGACGGATAGGGTCGATGTCTCAAGGTCGTAATACAGGAAGGAAGGTTGCCACCTTGTATGGGTTTGTCTGTAAAGAGGGATCAAGAGCGAGGTTTGGAGTGATAGGACGGATTCTTTAACGAAATGGTACTTGATTGGCAAGGGGAGGGAAAGGGGCTAAGGACTCTAGGCTTTGAGTGATTATGCCTGTTTGGGGCTTGGTTGTGGCGTGCAGTCGAACTGGTGATCCCTTTTCCTTGGCTCTGTTTGATTCTAAGATTTTCGTTTGATCTTCTCTTCCCGTGTCGAAGTCCCCTTCGTCTCTATGGCTTCCAGGGGAATTCTCGTGATGGTTTCCGTGCGCGTTCCCCTCGGATGTCCAGAAGTCTGGACCCAGTCGGTTTAGTGGGTCAAACCCCTAGGTCTTGACTCCTAATCCTTGCCGAGGGTTCTTAAGGGTAAGGGGGGTTTCGAGTTAGTCTTTCTTGTTCTATTGGGTTTCATCCCTTCCATGGTGGATGAAATTCTTAGCAAGGTTTTATGTCCACCTTGAGGTTCGGCCTGTTGCACCTATTTGACGATGTTTTCTGTAGCGAGGGCCCCTGACACATTGAACGTATTTGTTTGCCCACTCTTGTCAACGCATGGCGTTCTTCGGTGGCGTACGTACAGGCTATGGTTTCTCGTGAAGCCTTCACGGTTTTCGTGTAAGGGTGGGGTGATACGTATTCGTAACCTCCACCTACTTCGCCGATTCCTATCTAACAACTTATTTTAATATTGAATCAATGAATGTCGGTTCTTCACGCCCCTGGGCAGGGTAAGGGCCTTATGCTGCTCTACGGTCTTTAACAGGGTTTCCAAACGGAGTGGGGATATGAACTTAGAGTAAGGGCAATAACAATTTAGGGTTTCCGAGGGTTTGGGTTAAGCGCAACAAAGGGTGAGCAAGGTCATGACGGTTGCGAATTTGCTCTTAAGGTAATTAAGGATTCGGGGTGGGAGTTTTCAACAAATAGGGGTATCAAGATGCTGGGGTTTCAGGGCGGATGATATTTTAAATTGGGGTGGTGGGGTCGCAAGGTGTCGCGATATACTTACCTTGCACCCAAGGATTCGACTAATGGTGTCGTTCCTTCGCTACTTTAATAGGTGTCCTAGTTCTCCTTCCTGTTTGTTGTAGCCGCAACCCGGGTTTGCCGAGATAAGGCAACTTGTCGGAAGGTGCATGTCTTTTGTCTGACTCGGGGGTTATCGTGGTTACCCTAGGTTGGTGCGTATTGCAGACCGTCCCTTTTAGCAGTCCTGACTGTAACGCCTCTTCTTAGTAGTCATCCAAATCTTCCTTTTCTTTGGTCAGGGTCCTTGTCAAGTCTTTTGACGGGAGTTAGGACGAGGCGATTTATCGGGTAAGTGTACGTTGCTCAGTTGTGGAAGTAAACTTATCTATTCGCACCCTTACCTAGTGTGGTAAGCGTAGGGGGAGGTTCCTTTAAGTTAGAGAGGGATGAAGTGAGGGGAGGTTATGTGTAGGTTTCACAATCTCACTGCGCGTCCTAAGATTCCTGGATCCTATGTTCCTAAGTACCTAGAGTTCAAGCCTAGTGTCCTAAAGTCCGGTCTTAAGAGTCTTATCCTAGGGTCAAACTTAAGCTCTGATACCAACTGTAACACCCCAGATTTTCAAGACATTTAAAACTTATAATAAAGGTAGAATCTTATTAAATCCCAAGATATAAATACAAGCGTTCGGGGTGCTATGCCACACCTGGGCTAGAGAACCCAAGTGCACAGGCAAACTAACTAATATCCTCAAAGCGTAAATACGTAAACGTGGCACGCAGTCCAAAAGGGAAACTATCTACTTCTAAGTTCTAGCGCACTCCAGTTTCTTAATCTTCTGTGCCTGAAAGCCAAATATATATGTTCAGCGAGAGATGCTGGTAACCCACTCCAACGCGTTGAAATACAATACATATAGAGATATATATAGATATACGAAAACCATTTTGAGCATGAAGATATATCCTACGAACTCTAGCTTTAAAACCGGGAATGACTCGACAGATAAGGCCAGACACAAGCAACAGTTATAACGAGCATATGCAGTTCACAACAGATAAGGCAGATAGGGCAAAGCATAAACAATGATCATAACCCAACATGAACAATCCCCAATATAAATCCCATAGTCACATCCCCCAAGACACTCGTAATCACAACTCGTCCATGTCACAACACATAACACACTTTGTTGGCGCCACAGGACCAATCGCATGCCCATACATGAGGGTCAGCGCATATAGCTCTGACACGGCCCCGCAGCACATTGCCCCGTATCGCAACCGACCGATGAACCGCAGCTCATCATGGTGTTTGATCGCAACCAAACAGTGGACCGCAGCCCAAGAGAATGTCATCTGACCGCAGCCAGGAAAAAGGACGAACCGCAGCTCGTATAGAAACGTTTGATCGCAACCAAACGGTGGACCGCAGCCCAAGAGTATCAATCTGACCGCAGCCAGATTCTGAACCGCAGCTCAGGATAACCAATCCGATCGCAACCGAATTGGGGTAACACACACACATAACACATAGCAAGCACATGCAACCCACATTACACATAGGGAAGGGGGAGAAAACGTATAACAAAACCTATGCGTGACCCATCACATACTAGGAATAGTCCTAAGGGGTTCATACTTCTACCACCTAGGTCAACGGGATACCAATTCAACTAGCATGCAATATAATGGACTCGTAAACCTACGAACGGCACCCGAAATATCAAACTTGACATAAGCACGATGAACGGAGTCCGTTGGGACACCACGGGGATCGGGGGAACATCAAACGGGGAAGCCGGGATCCCGAATTGGGGAAATTTCCAGCGGGTAGCCCACCCACCGGCTGCCCGCCGGAATTACTGTTCCGGGCAGCGGGTCGCCGGCGGGCAGCTGCCCGCCCGCCGGCTACCCGCTGCCGGGCGGTGTTTCACGGCCGTGGGTAGGTGGCTGGTCCCCTACCCCCCACCTACACCCCACTGACTCTTTTCACACACTTTACGCCCCGGGAACCGTTGTGGAACCCGAAACCATGCTTAGACACTTTACAACGCAATTAACGACAACACGTAGACAATTAATGAATCAAATACAAGAAACGAACGGCACATAACCTATCATGCTTTTCTAAATATAATCAACACCCAAACATGCGATTTCCCCACCCGATAATCCAAGAATAAGATCATACGATACAACCTAGGGTTCTAATCACTTTTATATCAACAAGAATACGGTTCGTCTTCTAATTGCAAGATTCGGTAAGAATAACACATAAACATCAAGAGCATCACACAATTATCAAGAACAACACATAATCATCAAGAACTCCATATAATCATCAAGAATCTCCCAATATCAAGATTATCAAGATCCCTCATGGGATCATCACGTCAAACATCAATAATCATCATCATATCTCGCCAATACACAATAATATGGGGGAAACCCTAAGGGGGAATCATAGCTATGAAAATAGGTTTTGTTGAGACATGGGTTACCTCTTAGCCTTAATTAATTCCTTGGCTATGAAGGATCTTTCTTTAAGCTTTCTTGATTTCTTGATTTATCCTAAGGGGATTCTTGGAACTCTTTGGGTGGTGAGAGATTATTGTGGTGGGGATTCTAGGTGCCTCCTAAGTTCCCTATTTATATATTTAAGACTCCTAGTTAGGGCCTGAATGGTATGGGTTTACTAATTCTATTCCTTATAGGGCTAGGGCTTGTTTTAGGGATAAGGGTCCATGGTCCATAGTGGACCATATTAATTAAAGAGGATCCTAATCATAATCTGAATAGTAAAAGGCCTACTTCCTTTATTCCTAACAGGCTTAAGATTCTTATTCGGGCAAGGGTCCACGGTTCATGGTGGACCTTACTAATTAATTAAAGGTAAACCTAACATAATTAAATCATATTTAATTATTATTAACGGGATTAATTAAATAATTAATCCGGGATTGAAGGCCGTAACACGGGGCGTTACAAGCCCTTTGATCAAAGTTTGAAAATCCGTAGTTCACTTGGGCACTTAAATTGTTGAATCTCTGGTTGATCATCTCATAGTGCTCCTCGTTGGTGTGTCCCCTCAACCCTCCTTCATGACCTCCTTGTGGCTTTCCCTGAGGTGCTGCAACATTCACTTCTTCATTCCTAGTGCCCATCTCTTGATCAGTCATTGTGGCGTTCCCTTCACCACCTTCCTCCGCTATGTCACCAGCCTCAATGCCAACCATTGCCCAATTCTTTCGTGGTATATTCAAACTGACAACGAGTGCCATCCTCTCGTCCAATGGTGTAACACCCCGATTTACCAACATTTTAAAATCTTAATTTCAAAGATAAGCAAACTAAACGTTCATTAAACCATAAGCGAAAGCAAGTCTAAAACGGGGATATTATGCCACACCTAAACAACATAGGTGCACAAGCTACACAAAGTCTAATTCAGAGTTCTACATCTAAGGCTCACATGCCCAAAACATAACAACTAAAGGAAGGGGAACTGCACTAGCTACCAACTTCGACTAGCGCGCTCCACAACTAAGCAAAACCTGTAAAAGATAAGGGGATAACACCCGGTCAGCGAATAATGCTGGTAACCCATTAATACGCGTTAAATATCATATATATAGATAGATATAATCAAAAGCGTTTTGAGACTGAGGAATACAATATATAGTCATTTTAAAACCAGAAGAAGGTCAACATCCAAAGACTCATCACACTCTCAACAAGAACGAGGATCATCAACCTCAATAAACAACAAAACCACAAACAACCAAAGACAACACAACACAACACTAGATGCCACCTACCATTCAAAAGGTAGAGTTCATCATAGACATGCCCAAAGGCAAGAAGTACAACAATCACATAATGACAATTCACATAATAGGTCCAAATTCCAACTTTATGCCCTATTCCAACCTTATGGCTACCCCCGACCTTATAACTAGTTCCAACCGTTACCTCTTAGTGCCACCCTGTACTTTTGAGTCCAACCTTATTCCGCCTCGGACCGTCGTCCCCCACCAATCTTTACCACCAATCAGAACCGTTTTACCACCGATCTCATAGTACACGAGGGTACCGTAAAGTAACAATATTACCACTGATCTCGTGAGTAAAGCTCAATAATATACCACTAATCTCAATCATAATCACACATAATCATCATCATCAAGAAGATTAATGCTCATCAATAGCCTAATCAAGTATCAACAAAGGGTACAACGATTTGTACAAGATCACAACATGAGAATCAATCAAGAGATTCCAACAATGACATGAGGCAATACTCAACAACAAAGGACTACAATCCAATCATCAAAATGATTGAAAACGCGAGTTGTCAACCCCAACAAGAAGGAACAAACCATACATACTAGCATAACAACATCAAACTAGCATGCTCATCAAAACGGGTAAACCAAAATGGTTCCAACGAACCTTCAAGACTCATATTAGTCCAATGAATCACAAGGTTGGACCCTTAGCACGATTCAAGACACCAAATCCTAACATGGATTCCTAACTCATCGTTCTAGGCATACGAAACATCAAGAAGACTCACAAAAGCTCAATAATCCAACAACGGGAGGTCAAAACATCAAATACCAAGAAGAAAAGATCACGGGTAACAAATCCCCGCAATCCCCTTACACGTTCCCCGCGGGTAGGGCCCCACCCGTGGGCCTGCCCGCGGGGTACAACCTGAGAGCCACCACGTTCCCCGCGGGTGGGGCGGCGGGTAGGCCACTGCTCGCCGTTCTGCCCGCGGGTACACCCTGTACAATATTTTCCCTTCGGGGAAATTCTTCAACAAAGCCAAGTTCAAGTCCAAAACACCCAAAATCTCACACACAACAAAGATATGACTTGAACCCAAGAATAAGCCAAGCAATGGCATTCAAGAAACCTAAATACAAGCTCTAAACATGCATCATCAGAAGATCATGCATCAAATCTCACAAATCACATCAAGAACATCAATAGAAGCCAAAAAATATCAATAGCAAGCATAAAATAGGTTTTGTATAGCATGGGTTACCTTTGTAGACTACAACTTCTTCCTTTACACTCTTCTAATCCTCCTCTTAGAGTCCTTCTTCTCCACTAACTTCTTACACAAGCCAAAACACAAGAAAGATTTTAACTTAGATAAAGACACCCAAAAGATGGCTAAAAACAATAAATAGCTAAGAACCTTACCCTTTCCTATGCTTGGGAAGAAGAAAGTAGGAATCTTGAGGTGGGATCTTGCAAAGCTAGAAGGTCCTCCTTTTGGCTTGGAGAATAAGCAAGGTTTCTTTTTAAAGAGATGATGGAGTGTTTTGAACTTAGGCTAGTATGAGAAATGAATGGAATGACTTGCTAGGGATAGCTTGAACAACAAATCATGGGTGAAAAGTCAATTTTACCCTTACTAAGGTTGGAAAGGAAAAAAAGGGTAAAGGTACAAGACATAAGGCAAGAGGTACACTTGGTTGACTAGATAGACTAGTCAAATTCTAGTCCCTTAACTATTAAATTTCATGATTTTTAGGAAGAAATTACCAAGGAAGGCTAGGATTAATTCCTTAATTAATCCCAATTAGCATTTGGATTTACGGGGTGTCACAAAAGGTTTCTTAGCAATCTGTCTCAAGGTAAGGTACTTGTTGTCGGCAACCTGATACAGATCATAAAATCTCAAATTGGTGGCATTAAGAACCGTCCTGGTGGTTCTCTTTATCCTTTTCTCCTCTTTCAGGTAAATTCATCTTAATGATGATCCAACTCAACACCCATACCATAAGGCAAATACTTTATATTCCTTGTCTTCGAATAGGCTATGTGCTTAAGCATAGACAACTCAAGAAAAGGTGTTGGGAATTGTTGGCATCTCCCCTGAACAGGTAATAGAGCTCTTTAAAATCCAATTATCATCTCACAAATGCTTTTCTAATTTATATGAATTGTTAATGTACCGCGATGTGATACATGTATGAACACTATCCTATACTTGTCTTTTGATGATTACAAAGACTTCATTTCCTTGCATATCCCTCCCACTTCTCGGTGGATGCTTAATTGGAAATACTTGGTAATCTAAATATATACTAAAGGGATGGATACAACAAAATGCTAATTATTGTTACAGTGATATTCATTTGAACAAATACATTGAAGATTTTATTGATATACTTTCACTTTTCTGCTCCATTGGTATTGAAGTTTGATATATTATTATGGTGTCCAATTTTTTTAAAACACAATCTGTTAATAAATTTAGGTCCATTTTACATGAAAAAAAGTATTATATTATTAATTTAGGTGGATACCCATAGTTAGTTAGTTAGGTAATTAGGTGACTTGGAATTGTTACCTACAAAGTCCCTGAGTTTGAAATTTAATTGCCACACACACACATATATTCATATTTTTTTGCATTTGTATTTAAATCATCTAAAATATCAATCTTCAATTTACTGTGATATACATTTTAATCCGTGTTTTTTCAAATACTTGGTGATGGGGTGCAGACCCCGGGCCAAAGCCTAGAAGGGAGAGAAGAAGACGCAAAAATAAAGAGTGGCCCGAAGAGAGGAAGGGGTCAAGCCCAAAGGAAGGAAGGCCCAAGAGAGGTATGGACCGAGCCAAGGAGTTGGCCTGACCCCGAGGTCGGCGCGAGTGACAAGAGACCGTTGGAACATTTAAGAGGGTGTTTAAGAGACCCAGTCAAAGAATCGTTGGAAAGCCCATTAACGGCAGCCCCAACGACCCTTTAGAAATAAATAGTGGGTTAATGGGCCAATTATGGCCTTAAATGTATGTTTTAAAGTCCCAATCCAAGGAGGAACCTGCTATAAAAGGCTCCTCAAAAGCTGTACAAAGGGCGAGTTCATGCCAAGAGAAGAGAGACCCACATTCACAAAAGCATTCTTATTCCCTCCTATTTTTGAAAGGTGAATCCACCAACCACGGTTGTGTTGGACCTCCCAGGGCCCAAAAACCCTAAAACCAACACTTGGCGCCCGTTCCGTGGGACGTAACGAAAGGTTACTGCCATTCTTATGCATTGAGAGGAGAGTCGGAGACAGATCGGAGAGACGAGCAAGCAAGAAGTACGGAATCTTACGAAATGTCTGAGGGACGAAGTCACGCTTCCGGTCGTAACGACGTGGTCGAAAGTAGACTTGAGAGATCAGTTGAACCAACGAAATTTGCCAGAGTCAGGAGATGACTCGGCGCCTCGAAACAGACCGCCATCGATGATACTTCTCACTCCCGAATAGATCCAGGCTATTGCTCGTGTCGTGGCTGTGGAGGACTCGAGAAATGAGAGAATCGTCGGTCTCCCGACCGCCAAATACACAACTGCAAAACCAGCAACTGCCCCAAAGGTCAGATAGAGGCGGGCGAGAGGATCGAAGAGCCGAGGATCCACCGGCACGGTCGGTTTCATTCAAGACTAAGCCCCAAATGTAACGCATTGATCGGCGAGAGAGCGACTGGGTGGAGAGAACCCAGTCCGCGCCGCGAACGGGCCAACAGAATCGTGAGGCCATCTGAGAGAGAACTCATACCAGAAGAACCAGGACTCGGGCACGACAGACCGAGAGGGCCCACTCACAACGAGAAACGACAAGCGAGTCGCAAGTCGGGGAGAGTACCGAGTCCACAGGAAATCATACCGGAATACTGGCGAAGTGGCTCACCTGGCTCAAGAGTTGCGCAATTTAAAGGATCAAGTGGAAGGCAAAACTACGTCCCCAGGTTGGACATTACTCACCGCCCTGCCCTTCTCAACTGAAATTATAGCGTACAGAATACCCAGTGACTTCAAGTTTTCGGAGCAAGCCACTTTCGACGGGCCAGGCGACCCACGCGAGCACCTTCTGAGCTACCAGCAAAAATGCATGTTCTAGGGGTCAAGGATCCAGTCATGTGCCGCGCCTTCTTGCCGACTCTGAAGGGATCGGCCTAGAGGTGGCTTGTGGCCTTACCCCAGGATCGATTCGTAGCTTCGAGGAGTTGGCCGACCGCTTTATGAGTCACTATGCCGCCAACATAAAGCTCAAAAAGACCTTACACATCTTAGCGACATCCACAAGATGAGGGTGAGTCCCTTCAAACGTACTTAGCTCAGTGGCAAAGGAATACAGTTCATCGAAGAGGTCGAGGATCAGACCGCCCTAACATTTTTCATCGAGTCACTCCGATCTGGTCAGTTGTATCGGGGCCTGCGGGATAATCGGCCAGCAACGTACGCGGAAGCTATTCACATGGCCAACAA